GGGGGGGGGGGGGGGGGGGGGGGGGGGGGGGGGGGGGGGGAAGCAGCAAGGGTTCAATGCATCCCTTATCTTGAACACTCTGGTATTCCAAGGAATGATGTTAGTTCCAGAATCAGTAATCATAAAGGCACTTCTGATTCCATGATAGGCTTGAATGCACCATGAACTCAAGTATTTTGTGAAGCTCAAGCTTTGTGAAGAATTTCCTCCACTTTGAAGCATCCATGAAATGATATAGCACTGCAATGGCCAATATATAACAAAAGTCTGTCATGAGTAAAAACCACCTTATATAAATGCATGAAAGTGACAATGACCCTACAATGAAAGTAGCTTCTCTGAACAGCCCCCACTGTTACTGGAGCTACTTTTATGAAACTTGCATAGTGATGAAATTGGTATGTTCCCATCAGACTTTTCAAATTCCATCTTAATTGATGCTGCCAAAGCAAGGCAATGGGCCTTCATAAATAAAAAAAATTGGAAATGGGTAAGGAACTCCAATCTCTTTCAAGTGCCTCATCCACTTGCCTTGTTCTCTCCCAGAGACCAAGGATAAACCTAGGAACTTTGGGCAAACACTCTTTGTTTTGGTACTTGATTCATTTGTCATTAATTAGAATAAAGATGATTATAACTCTTTGCAAGGAAAGGCCAACCTAAATAAATGTATTTCAATGGAAGAGAAGTTAGAATTAACCTGGATGATATACATGCAGCATGCTTGGATGTGTCCTCCACTCCACTCCTTGCAAGAGCTCTTGTCTATTTTCTTAGTCCAACTTCTTTTTTTTTATCACTGCTTATATCCTTGATTTGGAGTGAAGAAATTGGAATATTTTGAAGATATGTTGGAAAATGACCTATCCCAAAATATCAGAAGTGAAAATGAAAGTTTTGTGAAAATAGCTCTAGAGGGAGTAGAGATATATTGGCTAAAAGTTGTTGGTCCCTTTTTTAGCCATAGTCAGTATATGTTCCCTTATAAAATTACCCACTGCATCAGTTATCCTTCACCTGCAGCATTGATCTGTGGCTCATCCCATCTTACCCTTTTCCTGGCAGGGGTATCTGAACCTTTCAAGAACATTCTTGTAATTCAATGTAATACAACACTAATGCCAGGGAAAGGGTTACAAGCTCTCCAAAAAATCATCTCCACAAGAACATCAGAGACCGAAGAAAATTAAGTCTATAATCCTATTCTTGGATCACATTCTTTAGTTTGCCATCTACACCCAGAAAAGGACATGCTGAAAATTTAATGACATTCATTGCTTCTTTGAAGGATTCAGAGCACAAAAATACCTTTCAAGAATAAGTTGAAAGACTTTTAAGCTTGAATAAAAAGGAAGAGGTGGGAATGCAGGAAGAACATACCACATTGGTGACATATAGTGCCAGAAGGGAGTGTCTCTCAGGCTTCTCTATGAATAGTGACATGAAGCTGGCAATCCAGGCAGGCAAGAAGGAAGATGACATCACATTGATATTCCCCAGAACCAGTCTATACCAGTAGAATAGTCTAAAAAATCACTCTTGTCCCAGCAAACTTATTTCCTCATAGATTTGTCTATGTGAAGGTGAGGAAAGTTCTGATTTCCAGATGAGCAGGTTCCCATCCTCTCCAGTTAGCTGATTGTGGCTGTAGGCCAACTAAGTCTTTTACTCTATACCCAACATTGACATAAATGATCAATAGTGAGCAACATGACAATAATTATGAGAATCTGGGAATGTGTACACCACCAAATGTTGGAAAATGAGCTAAATGCTATCATTTAAGAATGCTCAAAACTAGATACTTTCAGTGACTTTTGAAGGCCAGCACTGAACAGGGAAGGAAATTTATGATGATTCCAATGATGGATATTATCACTAATTCTATCCAAAATTTGTATTCAATCTTCTGTGCTTCAACCAAGAAACTCTCTGATATAGGCTTACCAACTAAGTGCTTTTCAATTATACTCTAAATTCAGGCCTGTCTAAGAGTTAGTAGAAGCTTTGAATTGAAAGAGGAATATATACAGGATGACCCAAAAAAATGTCCCCATTTTGAATATCCTTGAAAATGATTGTTTTCAAGATATTACAATAATTCATTCACTGGAAAGTAAAAAAATACCTAGAATTTTATTTCTTAAAACGACATATACATGTGTTACATATTGCACACTCAATTTCAGTATCTTACCACATGCTTGATCCAGGCACCTTGGCATTGGATCACTGCTACGACCCAGACACTGAAATGATCAATTACCCTGTCCAACATTTCTCCCGGAATAAATTTGCCTGATCTCTCTCTGAATGTTGTCTTTCAATGCTACAAGGGTTTGAGGGTTATTGGCATACCCTCTCCCCTTCAAGTATTCCCAAAGAAACTTATCTGGAAGGAACAGATAACATTTGGGTGCCATATTCCCATGATCAATTTTTCTGATATTGTCAATATTTAAGACTTTGAATATCTGAGATAGATAAAGTCTGAGATCATCTAGCAAGGTTGAGGTGACCTTTGCTGTATCCACTCCCAGTATCATTTTATTTATTTCATTTTTACCATATATCTTGACCAAAGTACAATTGAGTAAAAAACTAATGAACTATCTCATATCTTCCACAGATGAATGGTTTCAATGATAAGTGAAACAAAGGCCTCGTTCTTTGCATCAAAGACAATCTTCATCAATCTAATCTGTTCTTATTCAAGAAACTTCTTTGAAACATTTATGTAGAAGGAACAAAAATTCTCAGAATAACTTGAAACTACTCAGAAAACTCCAGAAGTCATTAATTGAAAGCCTTCATGTACCAGCCTTCTCATTCTCTCTTAGTCATTTGCTACATTCTTATAAGCAGAAAATTTAAAATATGTTTGCAACTCCATCTCCTCATCTTCAAAATAATAAAAAGGTTGACATAAAAATCCTAGGGTTCTATAATGGGGGGGGGGGGGGGAAAGCCCAGTTTCAATAAGCATATGAAAGCAAAGGCAGGAATAATCCTCCTTATCACTTCATTTATCAGCTATACTTAGGAATAGATATTAAGGAACTGGTCCATGACACCTCTCATTTCAAGTCAGGGAAGCACTTTCAGGACACCTGGATTGTCATTCCCCCCACACCTGCCCAGTCTATAATGGTCCTGGCAAGGGAGGAGAACAAACTACTAAGCAGGTGGCACTTCATAGATCTCTAACAACCCTTCTCTTCCAAAGTAAATTCCACAAAATGACCCTCTGCCCCCTAAAGTTAAATCTTCATCCCCTATCATCATTTTGTAGGGAAGCTGGGCTGACAGTCTTGTGAAGGGGTGTCTAATGTTTTGAAATGACAGGCCACATTTGAAAAACAAAAAAATGGTATAAGCAAGCTAGGCAAAAAAATATTTAAAAAATAAAAGTTCATAAAATCAAAATGCAACTTAATAAGGGATAGTTGGGGTACAGTTCCATAAACAGTGTGTAGGCTATACTTAAAACACCTCTGGTCTAATGCATCTACTTATCCTTTTTTTTTTTAAGAAACAGATTTTTTTCTTGATTCATCCATTGATGAAAAATTAGCCTACAACTATCAGGATTATCACCAATAACTGCATGTGCAAACTGATCAATTACAAAAGAACAATGTAGGGGAGCACCATCCTGGTAGATGTTTTCTGTAATGTCAATTCTTTTATGCCAAGGGAGCAAGTTGAGGGAAGTAGGTGTTACTCTAAGAGGTTATACCCAATGATAAGCCAGAGAGCCATCATCAAAGTATAGATTGCATCTTCAAACAAGGCAATCGTGCTCTCTTGCTTCTTTTGTCTTTCTACAAGAGGTCCAAGAGCAACTCTATTCTTGCATGCTTTCATGCTTTCCTTGTCTCTTTTTCCTTATTTCACATGCTTCAATTTTTAAGGCTTTGACTAAAATTACTCAAAAAATCGCTTAATCTAAATTGGGCTTTATTGTTGTATACTTGCAGCAATGGGGACACCTCAAGGAGTAAGTTGAGGACCAATGCAGCCAAGAAATGCTCAGGTGTTAGAAGTGATTATTCATGAGCTGATATTCCAGAAGATATGCTTGGTTTTTCAATGAAAAGCTCCCTGAAACATAATCAGGCCTGTGCAAATGTGCTTGGACAGTTTTAGGCTGTGAAACAATTGTGAAAAAGTGAAATATGAACTACTGTTACAGAAAAGTATTCCGAGTAAAACATGGCATTGAACAATTTCTATACATTTTTTCATGCATGACCTAGAGCCATTTAAAGTTAGGAGAGCTTCTATGGATCATCCAGAACATGTAGCCAATTTGACATGACATACTTTTAATTGAAGCCATAGCCAAAAAAAACTTTCCCATACTAAAATCCAGTCATTAACTCAATTTAAAAGATGAAAAACAATTTGAAACTGTTGAAGTATACCTGAATTCACTCTGGATGCAGATAACCAACAAAGGTATGGAAACCTGAGGTAAATTAATTTGTCTTAAAGGTCTCAGGTAAGGTATATCTTTAATGAATCACTTTCGTACTTTACCTCATTCATGTAAATTAAAGATCCTGCATACAAGGCCTACTCCTTTCAAACTGGCACATTAAGGCTATCACCACTGAAGAGGGAAAGCAAAAAGGGCTCACCTAGACATGCAGAAAGCTCCAATGTAACTGAATCCATTGTATGTAAGAAAAGCTGTTGATTGCAGGATGTTGGCAATAAGATGCATCACATTCTGTTTGTTCACTTTCTTCCTCCTCAAGATGAAAGACAGCTAAGAAACAATAACAGGTGATGAGTCTATTTTTATTCCTCATGGCCTTGGATTTGGCTAAGTAGGTCTGCTCAAAAGAAAATTAATTTTTTTAAATATAAAGCTTAAATACCAAAAAGTCAGATTTAACTATTAAAAAATATAAAAGGCTCTTAGTGAAATTTCTTGAATGGTGCTAGGTCTATATCAGTTTTAAACTGATAAACTTCCACCGTCATTCCACTTCAGTTGTTTTAAACACATTGATAACTATGGAAACCAATTTAAATTCATTGCAGGACAGATGCACAACAGTGTGTCTTGAGTCACATCATCATAAGTACAAATAAATGTTCATATTATCCCAAAATATTTCCAGGAAGCACACACACTCATGTGACATGGGAGGGAGTGAGGAAACAATGCATTTCTCAGAAGCAGCACTAGTCGTAACTACAGTAGGTCATTCATAGGGGGTCATGAAAGGGCAGCCATGGATATAGAGGCTCCTTCCATGTACCCCTCTTCTGACTCAGTATCACACAAAAGCAGATTGGGGGGGGGTCTGCTATTTTGTGTATGAGATGTCACTTGTCTAAAAAAAAAGGCAATAAGAAATGCAAAAATAATTTTTTCAGAAAAACAATTTAAACATTTTTAATAATTAAAAAAAGAATGAAAAAAATGTTTCAGGGATACCGATGAAACATCTATTGAAAATACTTTTAAAAATCTAAAAATTTTAGAAAAAGTTTGCAAATTATTTCATGAAATTGTTTTTCAATTACAATTCTTTTTTCAAGATGTTTCTTCCAATTTGATATGGCACTTCATGTCTTCAGGATTGTTGAACAAGTAAGTGCTTTCATCTTTTAACCATGCCTCCCTTGACTAACTTTTGTCAGTAAATATGGAGAAAGGGAAATCCAACTTAGCTGAGAGGAGCATTCCCTGTTTGGTGGTTGCCATGACACAATTCAAAGTGTTCCAAATATTCTTGTGCCAAAAATGTTCTCAAATTCAAAGGAAATTTTCACTTGTTAAACTGGGACAATCTGTGCTATGTGTTAAAAGGACATGCTACAAATCTGCAAGAATGCTCTGGACAAAAGCTAAAATTCCTTTAAAAAGTTCAATATTGATCAAGAGGTCTCAATAAGCAATAAGCATTGATTGATATTTTTGTCATTGCCAGGGGTCAATTGATACATAGGTAACATAGCATTTATTTTATCTTCAACAGAAATTGAAAATAAGTTGTCAACAAATTTCTTTAAGCATGGCAACAAATTTCTGGCACCGGTGTGGAAGATGCAATTACTGTTGCAATAGCAGCAATATTCAGGGTTGCTCTGGGTCCAGGTAAATCCACAGCAGCATACCTACTATTCATATCTGTACTGTTTGCCCCTCCTTTGAAAGCATGAGCTGGTGGTCCAATAGCTTACATCTTGGATATCAATATTGACCATGGTAGGATCCCTCCCTATTTGCCCCCTCTCTTATTATTTGTATTCAGTTCAATTGAGTTTCAAGCAGTTTTGAAGCCAATTGGTTGGGAGTTATGCAAATAAGGTCCCCCCACAGGAGCAGAGCCCTGCAAAAGCTGTTTCAGTGGTCTGACAAGATCTGGGCAAAAACACAAGCTCATGATGTTAATATATTTTTAATTTTCCACTTCAGGAATAAATACACAAAGGCTGGGATGAAGTGATCATCAATCATCAAGAACAAAACCATCTTCAAAATTTATTTTGCACGAACTCCCCGCACTGGCATCAAAAGCTTCTTTGGTAGTCAATAAGGCATTTCATAGAGGGTCCAGCAAAAATAAGTGAGGGAAAAGAATTTCCAAGTAACTCAGCCAAGTAGATCTTCATGGGAATGGTTGTGTGGTACCTGAAGGGTATAAGGTGAACAACAAATAATAGAGAGTGAACAAAAGAGAGAGAGAGAAAAAAAAAAGGGAAAGGAAGGATATCAGGAGCCAAACAAGAAATGGATGGAAGGGTTGATGCAGTCAGGAAAGCAGGTACCACGATGAAATTTGAGTCAATTTTCCAAAGTACAGCAATCCACATGACAGAAATATTATGAACCTAATTTCCCATCCCAAACTCTGCTCCCCATACACACGATTCTACCCTTGTGGTCACTCAAGTTGTTTCACCTGCCCCTTCATTTCTTCCTCACTCTCGATCAAAGACCCCAATAACACTTTGAGATCTTGCAACATTTTACATGCTACATTATTGATGTTGCCTACCTTATCTCCAGCACCATCTGCCCTTCAAAATTTTACATAGGCAACACTGGATGTCCCTTGAGTGATCATTTTGTGGAACACCTTTGGGGAATTAGTACTAAATCTTCTAAGCTGGTTCCACTTCATTTCTGTCTTCTAAATCACTCCATCAACAAAATAAGAGTTTAGGTTAACCACCAGTACCATCCCTCTTAAGATTCTCATGTAATGATGATGTTCTTTAGAACATTGACTCTAGTTTTATCTTGGTACCTGGTCTCCTGACTACATCAACCCTTCCATCCAATTCTTGTTTGGCTCCTAATATCCTTCCTTTCCCTTTCTTTTTTTTCTCTCTCTCTTTTGTTCACTCTCTATTCTTTGTTTGTTCCCCTCATACCCTTCAGGTACCACACAACCATTCCCTTGAAGACCTACTTGGCTGAAGAATTGGGAAATTCCTTTCCCTCACTTATTTTTGCTGAACCCTATATAAAGTGCTTCATATACATAGTGTGAGTCTCTGACCACTCTCATCTCTTCTTTGGAAGTCCTTACTTAGTACCTGTCAACCCATACAAACAGACATTACCACTTGAATTCAGAAAATCACGCTGACAAAAAAATTAAATAATGCTGTTTTTATCTGGAAAGTTAGTTTTTGAATATAATTCCCAGGATATTTTCTACAGTGACAATTGAAGCTGTCTTTTGCTCTTTGGCAATTCTATGGGCGAAGTCCCTAAGGATAAAGAAGGCAATGAATGAGAATACGTTTCCTTGATGAAGCTCAGATTTGATCAATATTGACCTAGCTTCGGATAGACTAATCAGGTTAATGATTTTATATCCATGCTCAACTAAGCCGAAGAGATTAGGCTATATTTGCCTCTGCTTACCGAATGGAAAACCCCATATATCTGCAAGGACTCCTTGATGATGCTAAGAGCAATTATGAGACAAGCCTCAGAGCACGACCTGCTCCAAGTATGACAAACTTCATGACAGGTGAAGGGTAATCGGAGAGACAACGGATGAAGCACGCGTGGCTTACTAGAGGCAGCCATATTCATTCTTGCTTTTATTCCATACACGGCGACTGCACAGTGCATACGCTATGAGCTCACACCCCCTTTAATGCAAACCAGTTCTGTATGGGACTACCATCGCCTGCGGAACTTAAGTTCCCTCCAATATTACATATAACGTTAACTGGTATTCGATAAATATCCCCGGATGAATTTTAACCAGGTGGAAATCGCTGCAACAGGTGGAAATACGCCTAAGGGGACATTCTGGTTCTAGATCCAAGTGGCAGGTGGACGGTTTTTAAGGGAAGAGAAACTGAATTTAATTTACGGCTCAGGAGAAAGAATACGATCAACAAAATATTGCGAAAACCGAAAACGTATCTCTATTTAGAGGATGAGGATACAGCATTCCTGTCTTCAGAATGGTCTAAACTGAATCTCAATCCAATCTAGCGCTCGAAAGTTATCAGCGTTCAAAAGGTGGACAGGACTTTTAACACATCCTGTACATTTAATATCCAGATATTCCATATGCATAAATTTCGACTGATTTTCAATTATAGAATTAATTCAGATTTTGGTCTAACTGAAGTTACAGAGTGCTCTTATGACTACCGTCACAATGAAATCCCAACTGGAATTGCAACTAATTAAGTTACAGCCAAAAGAGATGCGATCCATTAGTCAGCCTCATTCGAATCTCAGGAGATCGCCGATGGAAATGAACACCCATTGAGAAAAAAAATCGAACTTAAAAGTCTGCTCAAGGGAATTGCTTTCATTTAGTCTTCATGTAGGAACGTGAATGTTTCGCAGTAATTGCTCGCAGTGGTTTTCCAGTGGTTGCTCTCAAGCCGACAAGCACATGTGCAAGTGGGCTTGTGAGCAGCCGCTGCTGTTTTCGTCGTTACATTCTTTGATGAGTGGGACCTCGCCCTTTTGTGCACCACGTTCCACACTTACACTTATCTGCAGTTATTCGATCTTCTGTGCTTTTCTTCCGCATTGTTTCTTGGCATAATTTTTCTTCGGGAGTTAGTTGCTTCTCTTACCAGAGTTGTTTCTGGCGACTCTGAATATGCAGGCTCGGATTGCAGCACACCTATATACGAGGGGCGTTCAAAAAGTTTCCAGCCCGAGACAGTTCCAGATGTAATACATCATAATTATTTATCTCAATGGGAAGAAATATGTATTTGATGCGGACTGTCAAAAGTTAATCTCATTTGTAAGCGATGGACAGCCTCTACGAATTGTTTTCAATGTGAAACCAAAGGGTCCGCTGAAGGGGTATTATAATGGAGACGAATGCTTTGCTGAATTGCTTGAAGGAGTCGATCTCCTAGCAGATCTTTTAGGGGCAGTGGCATGCGGTGGTCTATGACCCAGGTCATGCAGATGTTTCTCAATCGATGAAAACAATAAATAAAGCCAAAATGAAAAAATAAGACCTACTTGCCTCATTTGTAGACAAAGACCAGTCGACGTTCTTTCTTAACAAACTCTTGTATCACGCGGTCATAGAATGTGTCGCGACTTTTTAGTTTGTTGAGCAGCTTTCTTTCAATGGAGATAATGGAGAGTCCAGAAAGTCGCGTTCATTCAGTTGAATTCCTTAAGTAGGTTTTGATCTTGAGTGCTGAGAATGTTCTTTCAACAGTTGCCGTAGTTGAGGGGATGGTCAGGATTAAAGTGCATCGCTTGTGAGCCTCGACCATACCATCAGTTAGGCCAGGGGTGTGCAA